GAGGCACCAAACTTTTGTTTCTTAGGTTTAGATTAGGGAGATAGAGATTCTTCTCTTGAATCTTTACTGTTTCTTTTCATCTATCTATTCAGTTTATGCAATCTCTTTTTCTTTACTGTTTTTCTATTTCAAAACAAATGATGATGTTGTCAAGCTCAGCCATGTCTGAGTAGTCACCTTGCTGGGTGAAGAGGGCCATCGAAAGGGACCCCATGACCGATGACATCTAGGTTTTTTAGGTTAAAGGATTTCGATTTTTAACATGATTCTCCCATTCATCCAAATCTCAAAGCGGTAACGCTGGAGTAGCTAACCAGTGTCCGATCCTAGGTTTAATCCGAGCCACGAGAGTGTTGTATCTGGGTTGCCTGAACTGGATCTTATGGACGTCCCCGTCATAGGAGACGAAAGCTACATATGGAGGATACGTAAGCAGAGATTGATTCCGAGCTACAAAGCATGATCTTGTTCTGGCATGAGAGTGAGAGTTAATTGCCATGAATAAGTGATTAGATGATTAGGGTGACGAGAGTTAGCTAATCTTACATGTGTATATCCTAGTTTCAGAATCATAGAAAATCCTTACCTAGATTCCTTGTGTCATAGATCATGAACCCTAGAGATGAACCCTAATTCCCAGCACGTTTTTCATCTTTGTTTTGATCTATTTTTATTTCTTGTTTAGCTTAGAAATCGTGACAAACAACCCCACTAAAACCCCAACTGGTCTTTGAGTTCGATTACTAATCCAGTTTGAAGTTTCTGCAGGAAAAGACAACTCTCCCTGTGGATCGACACCCTAAGTACTACAACGCACGACTGTGCACTTGCAGACACTAGGGTTTATAAATTTAAAACTATTTTGCGACAGCAACCCTAGCTCGCATCACTGTTCCCTGTCTTGCTGAGATTTTTGCAGCTGTTCCAACTGCTGTCGGAGCTGCTGCAGTTCAGCAGCCATTTCATCTTTGCCTTGGTCGTCCATGTTGGCTATGGTAGGCTTTTGACGTCTGTTTGCTCGCTCTACTCTTGCAAGCTCTGCGTTTGATAAGGTGACTAGATCCTCGGTGCAGTTTTTTCTTGTGGATCTCTTTCTCATACACCTGAAACACACGCAATAGAGAAAATATAGCAAGTTAGTAAAATATTAGACGGAATTTCAAGCCAAGAATCAAAGGTAACAAATTGGTCCCCGTCGCAACGGCGCCAAAAATTGATTCACTGGATATGATCTCCTATTTTCTACTGCAATAGAACAGCTTGTAATTGTAATATAAATGACTCGAATTCCAGAGGACCAGTGTTACACTATGACTCTACGAAAACTGTAACAAAGCTAAAACAAAGGTGGCTTGTTTGGTTGTGACGTGACATGCAAGAAAATGTAATTAACGATTTAAATTTAATAAAACAAAACACTAGACTAAAGCAATTCGCAGAAATTTCGGAGATAGCAATCAAATGACTATTCATGACACGGCTTAAATGCAAATCTCGAACTCAAACACAAATTCATATTGACCCATTGTCGTCGAACCAATAACTTCATGTAACAACCTAAATTATAAAATGTCGTTTAAACCTAAAAATCGCAGACAAGCATTAACAAGTAGGTTTGATCTGTTCATGATCCGCCTTAGCATCAACTGTCATTGACCAAGGACGACTCACTCGCCTAAGTCTTTTCTAGCAACCTATTACACTTTTGATGAATAGATTTACCTAGGATCGCAGATTGAGTGATCAATTCAACCTAAGAACTAAGATTAACAATGGTGAAGACAATCGATATTAAGTCGTCATATTTGCATTTAATTCTCTAACTCCTGAAAATTCCTTAAAAACCCTTAATCTAGCTAAAAGACTACTCAGACATGGCAAAAAGAAAAACAACAGGAGATGAAATGGAGTTCATGAATAAAACTTAGGAATAACAAAGGGTTCAGAATTCTTTTCAAGTCTAGCAGAAATTCTTCTCTCAAATCTTACAAGCAAAAACTCCAAAAGATTTAGAAACTATAAAAATAAAGCGTAAAACAACGTGTCATTGTTTCTGAGGCGGCTCCCTCTTTTTATTCTCTTCCTTGTGCGTCTTAGAACTAGGTAAAATCTATTTTCTTATTTTTTTCTGGAGGTTGGAGCAGGTGCTCTGCGAAAGGGTTCTGTCAGGAGCAAGTGCTCTGAAACCAGAAGTGGTACTTCTGCGTGTGAATTGGGCTCTTTTGGTCAGCTTCAACTCCTTTTTGATCCCAGAGCTCCAGCTGCTACAAACCTCGCCTAAAGCCTCATAGTTACCTGAAACGGCCTGAAAAGACTCCAAAGACTCTAAAAAGATCAGCAAATACAGGTTGAATGAATCAAAATCGCCACTTATCAACTGACTCGGAAATCTCAGGCGCGTTAGATGCCAGGGATATGAACTCCTTGCAATACTCACGCACAGAGCCCTCTTGTCTCAATGTTAGTAGCCTCTCGCTGGTGTCGTGTGGTGGAGAACTGCTCCAGAACTCGTTGTTTCATTTGCTCCCAGCTCAAAATGGGATTCCGATTTCGCTCCCATCGATACCACAGCAGTGCCTCGCCCATAAAACACATCTTCACCACCTTCATCTTCTCATCCTCGGTGAAGTGGCTGAGTTTGAAGTATTGATCCACTCGCAGTACCCAGCTCTCCGCGTCTTCGCCATCAAACAGGGGAACCTCCATCTTGATCTGCTCCTCTATATGGGTCTGCTCTGAGAAATACGTGATCCCTTTACCTGATCCTCCCATGTCGAGGTCTTTGATCGCGGATGCTGCGATCCCGATCATGTCAGAACCTGATGACGCTTCCACATGACGATGCTTGGCCTCATCCTCTTCAAGCCAGCAGTAGCCAGCATTGGCCCATCTTCTCCAACATGCTGAGTTGCATTTGCATCTCATTCATTCCCCTACTCTGTTGCTTGATCTCGTCGACACTCCTCTCCAAGGCGGTGATTCTTATCTCCCTCTATTTATAGATTCTTGAGGGCCTTCTCAGCATCAGTTCACTTTGGAGGCATTTTGGATTCCCAGAAAGGTGAGCTCTAATACCAAGTTAGTTATGATTTCCTTGTATAACCAAGATATTATTTTATTATGAATAGATCAAAGTTGATACAACAATCTGAGAGAACATTAATGGAGTCTCTCACCTCCCCAACACTTGATCAATCTTCTTGATATTTTACTTTAGGAAAATTACAAGCTTAAATACTAATACTATAGGTCTCTTAACACATCACTGCCCCCTCATGTGGTTTGTTGCAACGGATAAGATTCCCCTTAACTGGTGGTTATTCCTTAATTATAGAATCAATCCCTTTGGTGAATGCCACAATCTCACGACCTGAGGTATAACTTTTGCTTCCCAAATTACTCCTTACTCACCTGGGTCTTCTTTCTCCTTGTGGACTCAAACAATCTCGGTGGCCTTTGGGCCTCATAGCTAACAAACAATCTCTCTTCTAATTTAATACAATATATTTATGTATTTAATTGTGCTTTGTTTTTCAGATTTTGATTTATACGGACAACTGCATAAGATATTGTCATCTAAGTACATGACAACAGAGTTATAAATATATACTGACAAATATAGCGCAATAATCCTTGAGTAATTTACATTATATTTTAACTCTTTCTTTTAGGCTTTTAAGCTGATTACTGTAAAAACAAAAAAAAGTAGGGATATTATAGGATCACAAGTAGTTTCCTATACCTGATGATAATATTATCATCGAAGAGGTTGATAACATCAAAACCAGCATTCTAGCAATGGGAAGTTAGGATAACCTTAAAATATTTGCTTTTGCCAATATACGCTTAATTCGATAGAAGAGCTTGACTAGTGCTTCGAAAATAAAAGACAAACATTTATCTATGGTTTTGGGAGTTTGTGTGACACATTTATTGTGGTAGCATGGCCAATCGCTAGTTAGTTCTTACGGAAAAGCGCGATTGGATGCACAGGAGATTTAGATTATGAAAGGTTTGTCTCAGTTGATCTCTACGGGAAGGCGAGGATCGGATGTTAAAGTGGTTATTGATTTGTGTGATGAGCGAAAGGAGCTCTTGATTAGTGTATTTTGTGGTGTTGAATATTGAGTAGAAATAGTATTAATGTGGAGATGCTATGGAAAATGGTTGAGTTATTATCTAATGATTGTTTGAGCTTGTTTTAAGTGTAGACTTTTATATATAGTTTTCTCTCGTAATTGTCTAATGGTGAATTGTGGGCTTCTCTAAAGCTCATTTAATCCTTATTACTTACCTTTCTTTTTTTTTTTATTGTTTTTCAGGTTGGGTTGATCAGCAAAGTTTATATTATTATTGTTATCTGACTGTTTTTTTTTTTTTCAGATTTGTGTACTCACCAAAAGAATAAACCAAGTGGCTAACCAAAAGAGATTAGTCCGTCAATCTAAGTATGAGGTCTCTGGTTATCTTCAGATACCCGAAACTTAAGTGTTACAAATTGACTAATTGTAGATACTATACTTGAAATCTAAAACATACAAAATGCCATAAGCCAATAGATTTGGTCGATTCTTAGATAGAATTCAACTGATGCTGCTAAAAAAAAATAATATTTTCTTTGTTTTAATATAAATTTTTTTTTAAAATTGATTTTTTTTGTTTTAAAATATAAGATGCTTTCGGTTTGCAAATGTTCTAAAAAAGCTACTTTATTTTTATTTTTATAGCTAATTCATTAAATGAATAGAATATATTAAAAATTCATAAAACGTAAAATAGAAAATTAAATTATTTTTTAATATGTATGAAAAAGCTTTAAATGAATTATTTTTTGAAACGAAAGAAGTAATAACAGTCCAACAGATTTTTGACATTTTTGACGGCAAAGGCTTTGATCAACGTTCTGATTTGCCATGTGCCAAAATCCGCCACGTGTTAAACCCATTTGTTCAACAGTTTCTCTCGTTAAAAGACAACAAAGTGGTATCGATGGCCACGAATAAAACGCAAACTTGCACGCAAGCTCTTCCTCGTCCTTCTTCTCGCAGATTTCGGAAACTTCAGTAAGATTAGATATCGTCAAAATCCAGAGAAGCAAGTCGGAAAAGGAAAATGTCAGTGGTTTTAGTCTCTTCTGCTTCAGCGACACTAACGAAATCCAAATCCATAAAGATTCCCTTTTTATCTCCCACCACCAACTCCACGAAATTCCCCTTCAGGGTCTCGATTTATCCTCAAAGACCGAAACTTCTCGACAACCCTCTTCGCGTGGCGGCGCCGCCTTCTACGCCTACTTCAGATCCGGCGGAGGAGAGGCGGTTCGAAGAAGATATCGGCGGAGAGAAGGAAGAGGAAGGGTCTGAGTTTAAGTGGAGAGATCACTGGTACCCGGTTTCTCTGGTTGAAGATTTGGATCCGAATGTACCGACCCGGTTCCAGCTTCTGGGTCGAGACCTCGTCCTCTGGTTTGATCGGAATGATCAGAAATGGGCCGCCTTTGATGACCTCTGCCCTCATCGGCTCGCTCCTCTATCTGTAATCTCTCTCTCTCTTTATCTCTCTGTCTCTCTCTTGGAACAAACAGTTTAATTAGGTATTGGATTAGAAGAATAAATTAATGGAGATATGATTGTTTAATTGTTACTATGTAATAATATATCTATTTTAAAGTGTATTTCACTATTAAGTCAGCTTCAACAAGTTTAGAATTTAAATATTAGGATCAGAATCAGAACTGTTATGTGCAAAAAGAAGTCAACTTTCTGGCAAAGTTCCTAAGTCTTGAGCTTTGAATCAGTTTCTGGACTTTTGTGTAGCAAACGTAGAGATACATGTGTTGTGTATGTGTTGATGTATTGTGGGTCTTGTAGGAAGGAAGATTGGATGAGAATGGACACTTGCAATGTTCGTATCATGGATGGTCCTTCTCAGGGTGTGGATCTTGCACTAGGATTCCACAGGCTTCTACTTCAGGACCTGAAGCTCGCGCGGTTAAATCCCCTAGAGCTTGCGCTATTAAGTTCCCAACAATGGTGTCTCAAGGTCTTCTCTTTGTGTGGCCTGATGAAAATGGCTGGGACAGAGCCAATTCAATTGACCCTCCTAGGTAACGAGTGAACTGATTATCTTCTTGTTGTTTAATGCGCAGACTTTAATAAAGCTTTGATCTTCAACAATTTAGGTTACCGGATGATTTTGACAAACCAGAATTTTCAACAGTGACAATTCAAAGAGATCTTTTCTATGGATATGATACTCTCATGGAAAACGTATCTGATCCTTCACATATCGATTTTGCTCATCATAAGGTGTTTTTCTCTCTCTCTCAAAGCTCCCAATGTATTTGCATTTTTTGCCAAGGAAAAGTATCCTCAGGCAAAGATTTGGTGTTGTAAAACAGGTTACAGGAAGAAGAGACAGAGCAAAACCATTGCCGTTTAAGGTGGAGTCAAGTGGGCCTTGGGGTTTCCAAGGTGCAAATGACGACAATCCAAGGATCACTGCGAAATTCGTTGCTCCTTGCTATTCTCTGAACAAGTGAGTCTTGAGTTTCCCAACACAAATGGTTAGCATAAAGTTTCATACTGTAATGGGGATTCTATATGTTTGTGTGTACAGAATTGAGATAGATGCAAAGTTACCTATCTTTGGTAATCAAAAATGGGTTATTTGGATTTGCTCATTCAATATACCAATGGCTCCGGGAAAGACCCGTTCCATCGTTTGCAGCGCTCGTAACTTCTTCCAGTTCTCTGTACCAGGACCCGCTTGGTGGCAGGTAAAAAAACAAACTTTGAATTCCATCTCCAATCCGATTTGTCTTCATAACTCTTCTAATGCTGTTCTGTTATAGGTTGTACCGAGATGGTATGAACACTGGACCTCAAACTTAGTCTATGACGGTGACATGATCGTACTTCAGGGACAAGAGAAAGTGTTCCTCTCTAAATCAATGGATTCACCGGATTATGATGTGAACAAAGAGTACACAAAGCTCACATTCACTCCAACACAAGCAGACCGGTTCGTTCTTGCGTTCAGGAACTGGCTCAGACGGCATGGGAAGAGTCAGCCTGATTGGTTTGGCTCCACTGCAGCTAACCAACCTCTTCCTTCCACTGTCTTAACCAAGCGCGAGGTGAGTCATCGACCCTTCTTTTGCAACATCATTGATCTCTATATATACAAACTCATCTATGTTTTGAACAAAAACAGATGCTGGATAGATTTGAGCAGCATACACAAGTGTGTTCCTCATGCAAAGGAGCATACAAAGGTTTCCAAACCCTCAAGAAGTTTCTTGTTGGCACGACGGTTTTCTTCGCCGCCACAGCCGGTGTTCCTTCGGATGTTCAGATTCGGTTGGTTCTGGCTGGTTTAGCACTGATCTCAGCTGCTTCTGCTTATGCTTTACATGAAAAAGAGAATAACTTTGTGTTCAGAGATTACGTTCACTCTGAAATTGAATAGATAGATATGTTGTATATGTACACAATCATCTTACAACCTTGTAAATCAAAATCAGAGAAATTGATAGCAATTTTACAGTATTCGTAACTCTCCAATAGCTAACATCTAATTGTGGTTGCAAGAAAAATGACTATATTTGTTGGGGGTAAAAAGTAAAATTAAAGAAAGCTTATGGAAGAAAACCAAACGACCAAAAATTTAGGGGGCCAAATTCGAAACATCAGAAAGACATTCGTTCTTCACCGATAAGAAGATAACACTAAAACTGCTCTCTTATCTCTCTTCTCTGAACTGAATCATTCGCAATGGCTTCTTCTACAGCTTTGTCCCTTTCATGGAGCTCCTCTCTTTCTTCGCCGCACAGTTTCAATGGCGCCGCTAATGAAACCCTAAAAGTATCTCAGCGAAGGTCCACTTTGGAGGTTGTTGCTCAGAAGAAAACGAAGAAACTCCGAAAGGTAAAGTCTTTTCTGGTGATTACATTTCATTGGTTTCCTTCAAAAAATCCGATTAGAGTTTAGTTTCTCTTTGATTATGAGCGGAGAATTTTGATGGAGATGAAATAGAACTTGAAGAAGCTTAATATATGGGTTTAGTGCAAAAACACCGTCTTTGTTCTTCATGTATCAGTTTAGGTGGTAAGAAATATTCAAAACTGATCCTAGTTCCAATTTATCATGACGCATTTGTATTGTTTATGTTTCATTTCGAGACAGTGTAAGAAATTGGAATGCGATAAAAGTGCGATTTGAATTTCAAAGTTGAAACCTTTGTTACTGGAGTTTAGCTCCAAGATAATAACGAAGGATTGGTTGATTCCTTGTGTGTTTATTTGATTTCTGGTCGGAAGTTTTGTAATGGAGTAAATATTGTTTGTTTTTTTAAGGTAATCTTGAAAGAGGATGTGTCCAACTTGGGTAAGCAAGGGCAATTACTGGACGTGAAAGCCGGTTTTTTCAGAAACTTCCTGTTGCCTACGGGAAAGGCTCAGCTCATGACTCCGATTCTGCTCAAGTAAATTCATGAATCCTAAAGTCACCTCAACATCTATTCGCATAGCAAAAGCTCTTACATTTGTTTTCTAAAGCCTTGTCTTTCGAAAGCTATTTGTTATACTGTTATGAGATCAACAAGAAATGTTTCATTTTGTAAATTAAACGTTTTTTTTGTTGTCTTTTCCAGGGAAATGAAGATGGAAGATGAACGGATAGAGGCAGAAAAGCAAAGGGTAACCTTAGATGAATGAATTGATTGTTTCATTTTGCTCGTCGTGTAAAGTTTTGGTGTTTGAGTGATCACCAAAATCTCTCTTACTTGGTTATAGAGTTTCACCTGAGAATTTTGTATGTTGTTTTTTCTTTTGCGTGAAACCACTTTTCAGGTGAAAGAAGAGGCGCAACAACTGGCGATGATATTTGAAACCGTTGGGGCTTTCAAGGTTAAACGCAAGGGTGGTAAAGGCAAACAAATATTTGGATCGTAAGTCGTCTTTAGCCAAATCCAGATTCTAAATGATCCTGGGAAACATGTCTAGCCTCTACTTAACTTTAATCTTCCATGCAGTGTCACAGCACAAGACCTCGTCGACATCATCAAGGCGCAGCTCCAAAGGTAACATAACACAGAACAATTTGACTAATTCCACATAACATGCACTTTAGTTGGATCAGTATGCATTTGGTTTTCAAGTGTTCTTTAAAGAACCTAATGTGGTTTTCTCTCCTTCTCTGCGTCTTGGTTTTGCAGGGACATAGACAAACGCCTTGTCTCTCTCCCGGAAATCCGTGAAACCGGAGAATACATAGCCGAGCTCAAACTTCACCCTGATGTCATTGCTCGAGTTAAGCTCAACGTTTTCGCCAACTAACCCTTCAGATAGTCAAGAATCAAGATTACTACTACATCCCAAGGTATTTCTCGGCTCTCCATGATCTTATGGCTTATTCCTTTTAAGAGATGGTAGTTTCGTCTCAATTCACACTGAAATAGGTAGTTAAACCCATATTCTGAACTCTAATCGCATTGAAAAAGGTAGTTAACCGATATTTTAAACATTGGTTGAGAATATTGGCCGTCGAATGAAGGTTTAGCCGTAAACGCAGATGCTAATGGACCATTGCACTGTGTTTGGTGTTTTGAGGTTTGCAGGAAACATAGAGAAAGGGAAAAGAGAGTGGCTGAGAATTAAAGTTTGTGAATTTTTTTTCTTGTAGATCTTTGATGCATTTGTATTTTTGCTATTTTTTTGAAAGTTATCTTGGAACCTGGAAATACTAAAAGAATGTAATATTTTCCTCAAAGTTATTATATTTCTATTGAAGTGGAAAGAGACGCTTAAATTAAACACTAACAAGCTGTAAAAGGTTAACAAATAACCAGATATCTGTAATGAAACGTATGTCGCCGTCTCTTATTCCGACAAGATTTACTATTTTTAGATGAATTGGTTTTAAAACAAAAACAAAACCCAGATGTATTTCGTTTCACTCCAATTCTGTTACGCAATCTTATTGTTTAAAACAGTTATTATAGGTTTTTAATTCGATTTTATAACCATTTTGTCTCGTTTCTATCATCCTCTGTTCTTGTCAAGAAAGTTTGGTGTCACAATGGAGTTGGGAGATGATAGGAACCTATACCTGAGAGATACATGGAGAGAAGTGAACAGAATCTGTGGCGTCGTGCCCATAAACCCGAGCTCGAGCGGGATATGGCCATCCCCGAAGCTTCCAGATCCCAACGAGAACATCGAGTTCTGGAATTACATGTTCCCACATGTTCAGATTATTTTCCTCATCGTCTCCATCCTCTGGCAATTCTTCCATTTCTTCCTCAAACGTCTTGGCATGATTCCTTTCACTTCCCATATGCTTGTAAGTGAATCTTCAAATGTTCTTTCCCTGATTCAAACTCGATCTTGAAAAGTTTGTGTCTTTGGTTTGAAAAACACAGAAAGTTTTCATCTTTTTTTTGTGGGGTTTTCGGGGTTTCTTCGTTTAACTCTGTTTTTGATTCAAACTCGATTCAAGTTTGTATCTTTGGTTTGGAAAACACAGAAAGTTTCATCTTTTAGTTTCTGGGTTTTTCGGGTTTTCTTCGTTTAACTCTGTTTGTGATTCAAACTCGATTCAAGTTTGTATCTTTGGTTTGGAAACACAGAAAGTTTCATCTTTTGTTTGTGAGTTTTTTGGGTGTAACTCTGTTTTTTGTTTTGCAGACTGGTATTCTTCTAAGCAAGTCGTTTCTGAAGGAGAATACACCCGGGAGACATTTCTTTTCCACGGAAGACTATAAAGAGACTCTGTTTGGTCTTGTCGGTGCATGTTCATACATGATGTTCTGGTTCTTGATGGGAGTTAAAATGGACTTGAGTCTAATCCGCAACACAGGGAAGAAAGCCATCACCATTGGTCTCTCCTCAGTGTTACTCTCTATCACAGTTTGCTCATTGATCTTCTTCGTCGTCTTAAGAGATGTAGGAACCAAAAAGGGAGAACCGATTCTGAATTTCTTCGAAATCATCTTCATCTACTCGATCAATTGCCTTTCATCGTTTCCGGTGATTGGAAACCTTCTTTTCGAGCTCAGGCTACAGAACTCAGAGCTTGGTCGTCTCGCTATGTCTTCTGCAGTGATCAGTGACTTCAGCACCTCGATTCTCTCCGCGGTTCTCGTCTTCATGAAGGAACTCAGGGACGAGAAAACTCGTCTTGGATCCACCTTTATCGGAGATGTTTTCGTCGGAGACCGTCCTTTGAAGCGTGCAGCAGCAGTGGTGATCTTTGTTTGTTTCGCCATATACATTTTCAGGCCATTGATGTTCCTTGTCGTCAAAAGAACGCCTTCTGGTCGTCCCGTGAAGAAATTCTATATATACTCAATCGTCATTCTTGTCTTTGGATCTGCCATTCTTGCGGATTGGTGCAAGCAGTCTATTTTCATGGGACCGTTCATTTTAGGCCTAGCGGTTCCTCACGGTCCTCCTTTGGGCTCTGCGATAGTTCAGAAGCTCGAGCCTGCGTTTTTCGGTACATTCCTTCCTTTCTTCGTGGCTACATCCGCTGAAGAGCTAGATACTTCTATTTTACGGTCTTGGGTCGATTTCAAGAGTATCTTCATCCTCATATTCATATCTTTTCTTGTCAAATTCGCTCTCACCACTCTCCCTGCCTTATTATACGGTATGCCTGCAAATGACTGCCTTGCTCTGTCTCTTATCATGTCCTTCAAAGGCATTTTCGAGTTTGGAGCTTATGCGTTTGGGTTTCAAAGAGGGGTAAGTTCAATATTCATAAACATATGCATCTAACACATTTTGATACAAAACCGTGGCTAAGCGTATCGTTGTTTTTCCATATTCGTTTGCAGTCTATCCGGCCAGTGACCTTCACTATCTTATCTCTTTACATCTTGTTCAACTCTGCAATCATACCACCGATCTTGAGACGCATATACGATCCTTCAAGAATGTACGCAGGATACGAGAAGCGGAACATGCTTCACATGAAACCGAATTCTGAGTTAAGGATACTATCTTGTATCTACAGAACAGACGATATCCATCCCATGATCAATCTCCTTGAAGCTACTTGTCCCTCAAGAGAAAGTCCCGTAGCTACTTACGTCCTCCACTTGATGGAACTTGTGGGACGAGCCAATCCGGTTTTCATCTCACACCGTTTGCAAACCCGAAAAAGCGAGGACATGTCTTATAACTCGGAAAGCGTCATTGCCTCGTTTGATCAGTTCCACAAAGATTACTTCGGTTCTGTTTTCGTCAGTACTTACACGGCTTTATCAGTTCCCAAGATGATGCATGGAGACATCTGTATGCTTGCTCTTAACAACACGACGTCTCTCATCATCCTTCCTTTTCACCAGACTTGGTCCTCTGATGGATCAACCATTGTTTCAGACAGCAGGATGATCAGGAAACTGAACAAGAGTGTCATCGAGCTCTCTCCTTGTTCTGTCGGAATCTTTGTTTACCGGAGCAATAGTGGCCGGAGAACAATCCGAGAGACGGCTGCAAACTTCTCATCTTACCAAGTGTGTATGCTCTTCCTTGGAGGTAGAGACGATAGAGAAGCTTTAACACTAGCCAAGCGAATGGCCCGTGACTCAAGGATAAAGATCACCGTGGTTTCTCTGATATCTTCCGAGCAGAGAAACAAGCAAATAACCGATTGGGATCGAATGCTCGATTTAGAGCTACTCAGAGACGTGAAGAGCAATGTTCTTCATGGTGCCAACATAATCTTTAACGAGGAAGTAGTGAATGACGCGTCTCAGACATCAGAGTTTTTGAAATCGATTGCTAATGAATATGATCTGTTCATCGTTGGAAGAGAGAAAGGAAGGAAGAGTGTGTTCACGGAAGGGCTTGACGAATGGAGCGAGTTCGAGGAACTTGGAGTGGTTGGTGATCTCTTGACTTCACAAGATCTTAAATGCCAAGCTTCTGTGTTGGTGATTCAGCAGCAAAAGCAGATGATTTAGGGTTTTCAAATACTCAGGAAGATGATGCGAATTGATCAATTCAACGCCTGATTGCGCTTGTTTCTTGGGGGGAAAGAAACATCGGTCGATCAGATGGAAATGGCGACGAAAATGAACAGGGACTTCTGGAAGTTGCGACGGCACATATACAGAGTTTTGAAGCCCTTGTTGTTAGCAAAACCACTTCATGATACTGTTAGGAATTTATTAGAATAAAGAGTTTTCTTGAGATACAAGTAATGATTACAATGTTTTTGGATGTTGTATATACATATATAACCTTCTTTTATCGGTCAATAATTCGACAAATTTGTTTCCGAACTTAGGATGAAAAATATGTTTATTAGTGCTCTGTTCTTAAAACAAGAATTTCTAAGATCGAAAAATTCTTAGAAATAGACCTCTAAAAACCAATTCAAATGCTTAGCTATTACTTGATCTTATACATGAATTGAAAATTGTTAATTGAAAGTGAAAATACAATCGTTGATTTGGTATAATTGATATGACTTGGTTAGTTTGGAAATTACATCTTAGATTGAGAATTTTATTTGTTTTACTTGGTTTGGTTTACCATGGTTATTTTAAAACTTTGTGCACATGTTATTATTATAAGTTTGTGCACATGTTATTATTTAAAACCAATTGTTTTACTTGGTTTGGTTTACCATGGTTAATTTATTCAAGCAATCCGTGAATATGTGCATAGATAGTTACAATAAGAACTGAATATGTATATGCCAAGAATTATGTTAAACTTGATTTAAAAGTATTATATCAAATAAATTCTGAATTTTCTGTGGTATCTTGTATTTATGTTAAAAGAAAATACTATTTTGTTATTTGATTTAAATCATTATCTTTTGTTCACATAATTTGATATATTCTTATGATTAGATTATATTTATGTGTCATTACCTCTTAAATGATTTTAAGATCGAGTACTTGACCGAAAAGATCCACAAGAAATTTAGATTAATCTAAAGAAAATGTATAATCATTAGAATATGATATTACACTCATTATGATTAGTTGAATCTAAAATTACATGACTTGAAGTTTCTAAGTGAGTTTGACTCAGTTATGTTCAGATATTATGTGAGGATAATATTGTTGATGCAGAGATGTTAAAAGACATACTCTGCCATTTCAAGAATGAGATGTTATCCTAGAGACACAATACTCTACACTTTGAGAAGTGTTATAAACTTGTATATGTGTCTAAAAGAGGCTGAGCAACATAATGAGTTAGAAAGAGAAAAATCAGAATACACTTCTGATTTGAGATACTCCATTTCCTGAAGTAAATGTGACATCTTATATTGAGAAAGAAAAGACCACATGATTGATAAAGGCCGAATAAGTGGCTATGGAAGTGGTTGCAGATATTAATGTGGATATGGATGTTGATATGGTCAAGGTCAAGCTTGAGGCAAAAGAGATTCTTTTAAGAACTCAGATATTCACTAAAAGTGAGAAAATAAAGATGATAACATACAAGAGATATGTCTATCATATGATGATAAAATAAACTAGTGTGAGTACAAGATGAGATTGTATAAAATATTAAAAGCTCCAGAAGAGAATATATAATTGTCTATGGAAATGATTTGGAATAATTAATGAATTGTACTCCCCCAAGTCTCAAAAGATTAAGAGAATCTAAGATATACTACAAAACCCAAGTTGGGTATGTTATTGATCCTAGAGTGGATTCAATTCGAGATGGATGGACCTGAAGTGTCATCATCTCGAGGGGGAGAATTACAAAATCCCACAATTCATAGTAAGTGTAACATCCAGAAGATCATGTTCGATAAATCATGTGCAAAGAAAATCCAAAGGATTTTAAGATTTATCAAGTTGAGACAATGAGTGAAGAAAATGTTTAACATCTTCACAGGATTTTAAGATTTATCAAGTTGAGACAATGAGTGAAGAAAATGTTTAACATCTTCACATCATGAGTATTATCCAAGGCAGTAAAAGTAATTTAGAGAAACAACTTGTATTCTCTATTGAATTGTACTATGCTAGTATATGAGATATAAATGGGTCTAGTAAACAAGAAATTTACTGAAAATCTCACTGTTTTGCATAACTGGTTAAGCCATTCCAGTTAAATAACAATGCGAAAAAGATCCAGAAGATTCTTATGTGTTTGATTTTTACTCTCCAATAAATTTGGATATGTTAATTTTCTGGTACATACACAAAGAGATATTTTGGATTGATCACCCACTATGTATCTTTGTGAAAGTATTTGGTTAACTGATTAAGAGTGAAACCACATTGATTCGCATTATGCCAACGAATAATTTTGAGTTCTCCTCATGGTTGGTTTTGGTCAGAAACCAGATGTTTCCCATCTAAAAGTTTTGGATAATGTTGCTCCACCACATTGATTTAAGATGGGACCTCAAAAGAGGAATATATGTTGGATATGAATCTCCCTTGATGAGTAAATGTATTAAGCCATCAAATCAGAGATAAGATTAGAATTACAGACTGTAATTTCAGTGAGTCAGTCTTTCCAACAATTAAGGAAGGGGGGAGAAAATAGCAGCTGGAAAATCAGTGAAAAAAATTATCTTGATCCTCAGAAAGAATGTGCACTTAAAAGTTTGAAAGATAATTTATTTGCAAAGTTAAGAAAATTTGATGCTAGAAGCATTACTTGACCCTGATTATGTGATACCAGCTGTGCTCCAATTAATATTGATGTCCCAGGGGGACAATATCAACTGTTATATAGGCTAAAGATCGCATGAAGTGTGATAGACCTACTGATTCCAAAGATAAGAATCCTCGAAAAGCAAAAAGGAGCATATTATATAATGGCAAGATCGAGGAAAGATTCTATAGAAGAGATATAGACATGAGAAAGAAAGAAATCTATGTACCTAGTAATGATAAGAGATTTCAACTAACTGAGTCATGTCTGGAATGAATGGAATCAAAAGCAAATCGACGTCGATAACATTTTTGCATGCAATGAAGCAGTTGATGATGAGAAATGAGGATCAGAAACCGCGGTATAAAAGATGTATTGAAAAATGCGTAAACCGATGATTGGCCAATCATGATAGAGGCCGTAAAGGCAAAGATTAAATATCTTGTAAAGAAGAATTTGGACCAGTAGTCCGTACACTTGAAAGTGTTTATCTGGTGAGACATAAGTGGATCTTTATACGAAAGATGAATGAAAGTGATACATAAAAAGATATACTTTCTTGTGGTGGATGCAACTATTTTACAGATCCTTTATCAGTCTACGAACAAGAGAGAAACTTGATTTAGTCCTAAAGGAAATCAAATTGCCAGAAGCAATTAGAAGGATTAATGATTTCAAAATGATGTTCTCGAGAACACTGGCTATTGGATTGAATTAAAGCAAATATGCTTCATGAGGTATACTCTTACCGTGGATATTATACGATAATCAATATACCCATGTGTATGTATCAAAATATTATGGATCAATAGATTCTTTGGTTTGGACATAATCAAAACTCTTGAAGAGTTATCGGAAGTCAAGATTTGGAAGAAGAAACTTTAGAATGACAAGTTTGTCTTGAGGTTATCCAAATTGTAAACTAAAGAAAGAGATAGTGTTTCAAAGATCCTTGTATGATTTAACATAAAAATGCTCATACATAGTTGGTCTTGAAGTACCACACCTAAAGTGATATTTGAGCAAGTTGTTGATCACTTTCATGATTGAAAGATGAGATTTGGTATGGCAAGAAAGAAAGCCAACATGATAGCTTTTACAAGAAGAGCATGAATAACTCGTATGTACAAATATGTACAATGTGAATATGTAAAAAATTGTATGTTAAGACTTTGGCATAAAGTTCAAATAGAGGAAGAAAATATCTTTTATGCGAAAGAATGTTATGGACTAGAATTCCATTAACCAGAGAAAGTTTGATAAGCATATGAGTGCATTAACTAAGGTTATGCTTATATCAATTTCCTAAAGATGATATATGATTGAAAAGCATCTCTTGAAGAAGATGTTTACAGGGGGAGAAATATGATGATCTGTGTGGTTGTACTCTTTTTTCTTCTCATGATTTTTATCTCACTGGATTTTTCCATGACAAGGTTTTAACGAGGCAACAAAAACATGCAAATGATAGTGACCTAAAAGGAATATAAATATGAAAGTCTATCACGACTAAAGAGATTATTAAGATCATCAGAAGCAAAGAAATATATCAAGATGGGACACTCGATAATTGCAGTGTATGTTGATGATGTAAACATCATTGGAACTGATATAGAAATCTCTCAGATAGTGGAATATCTGAAGAAAGAATTTGAGATGAAAGATCTCAGGAAAACAAAATTTTGCTTGGGATTGCAAATTGATGATTTAAAAGGATGGAATCCTAGTGCATCAAACGACATGTACAGAAAATGTACTTAAAAGATTTTATATGGATGATGCACATCTCTTGAGTAGCCTTATGGTCGTAATATCAATTGATGTGTTAAAGGACCCATCTCTTCCTCGAGAAGACGATGAAGAAGTACTTGGTCCTGAAGTACCATACGTAAGTGCAATATGGACATTAATGTACCTTGCGAGTCATACGAGACCTGACATATTGTTTGCAGTAAATTTATTGGCAATGTTTAGCTCATGTCCAACTCGAAAGCACTGGAATGAAAATAAACAAATATTTTGTTACCTCAAAGGAACAAAATATATGAGTTTACTTTTTCTAACCCATCCAAAGAAGATTTGATTAGTTTTGCAGATGTTGGATATTTATCTGATCCCCATAATACCAAATCACAGACAGGATATGTATTCACATGTGGTGGTATATCTATTGCTTAGCGTTCTATGAAGCAAACCATTACAGCTACTTCTTTTAACCATGCTGGGATTTTAGCTATTCATGTAGCCAGTCGAGAATGTATATGGTTAACGTCCATCATTCAACATATTCGAGAAGATTGTGGTTTATCAAAAGGGAAAGAAGCTCCAACAATTATGTATGAAGACAATGCTGCTTGCATCGCTCAACTTAAGGAAGGATACATCAAAGGAGATAGAACAAAGCATATTCTACCGAAATTCTTCTTCACACATGACTTGCAGAAGAATGGGGATATTCGTGTTCTACATATCCACTCAAGCGATAATTTAGCGGATTTATTTACCAAGGT